CCCTGAGTATCTGTGTGGAGCAGAGACCCGCCCCAGACAAGCCACGCGGGAGGGAATTACACGCGCAACGTTAAATCGCGGAGAGCTGGAGCCCTCTGCGGCGGCGGCTGATTTAGCTGAACGGTGTTACTGCTATGACCGCTGCTCTGCTGCTTTTCCCAGGTAAGGAAACCAAGGCCATAAAGCCAGTCAGGGGCAGAAACAGGGTTCAAATTCACAACGGTGACTCCAACACCCATCCTCTTCCAGGAACACCCTGTTGTTGCTCAGTAAGGTCACTGACTTCCCGGAAGACTGATAAATGGACACAGGAGAAAAGAGGGAACCAGAGGAGACTCTGAGCCCGGAAGCCAAGCGGAAGCAGCGAGGAGGACCTGATGGGATCTCAAAGCTAGTGTTCCTGGGGCTTTGGGGCTCACAGGAGGTTCTGTCTGCGGCTGTACGCGAGGAGGAAATATCACACAGGGGTTTAGAGCCCTGGATGGGCCAACAGATCGGCCTAGGTTCAAATCCTGGTACCACCACTTCTCACTTGAGTTTTTCCGAGCCTTACTTTAACATCTGCCAAATGGGGACGAGATCTGAACCAGCCTCGCGGGTGCAGATGGGATGGAGTCTGGTCTAGCTGCTGGCCGATGGTCAGCATGCCCACAACGTGAGCCACCACGAAGATCACCCCCACCGTGGCTCCGAGCACCAACCTTGCCAGGGGCTGAGGCAAGGGGGCAGCAGGAGGAGGCTGCCCCAGCCAGGGCAGCCCATAAAGCCTAGAACATACCCCTGGTCTAGCCTCTGTGTCTGCAGCAGACCAAGGGGCAGAGGACAAAGGGGGTTAGCAGGGCCGGCCAACATAATGCAACAGAGCAGAGAAGCCAGATTATTTATTTTAAAGTCTCAAGCGTCTTCTAGCAAGACGGCCTTTTATTTGGGTGAATCTGGGAGTTGTTTATCAGCTTAAACTCATTATCTGCACATATGGTCTTCATACTATGGTTCAGGGTGGGAAACAAAGGATGAAGGGAGAGGATGGGCAAACACTAGCGTAGGAAATATCATCCCTCAAGTGCCAGAAACCAGGATATTTTAGGTGACGTCACACTGGGCTCCCTGCCACGGGGATGGGGCTATCAGGAGAATATTCACAAGGTTTTAACTCGGCGTCCCTCAGTGAGGGAGGGAAAAGGTGGGGGGAGTGATTCATTTTATTCGCTTGTGTCTTCCATTCTCAAAGCAGACTCTTCCCGGCCCTCACCCACATTCAAACCCAGGCAGCCTAACCACCACCCAACGCTGTCACTGAAGAAATAGCAAAACAGGCTCAGAGAGGGCCAGTGACTCCCTTGAGGTCACACAGCTCCACCTGCAAGAGAATCAGGGCTCAAACACAAGTCTCTTCTCTCAGAGTTTGGGAACCTTCCCGCCACCAAACCCTGTTGCCTCTCGGTCCAGACGCACATGCGCAGAACCAGTGAACACGCTTCTGCTCATCTCCGAGTTGTTTGATTTATTAATTAAAGCAGTGGTCTTGGGAGAAGACAACGGGACAAGGGTTGGACCTTAATTTAAGATAATCAGTGCGGACATGAAAGACCTACTTCGCCAGCTGCAAACACTGGGGCTCATCATCTCACTCTTTTCAAAAAGAGTTTCCTTACCGGCAGACACACCCATCCCCCACCCCCCACCCCCACCCACGCCCCCGCCGCGGGATCCAAGTGCTGATTCGGGTCCAAAGTGCCAGCCCGCGTAGCAGGAGGAGCCCAAGCTGGCAGCTTTGCTCCATTGCATCAGGTTGCAGAAATATTCGATCGACCGATCATCTGCTCCGGGGGGACCAAAGTGCTTGGTTCCAAGGCCCCCTCCCTTTGCCGCGTACCAGCTGAGCACGAACAAATGTTCCTGATTTTTCCAGCCCTTTGGAAAGAGGGGTCCCTCAAAGGGGCGCCCAGCCCCAATACGGGCTCTTCTTAGGGAAAGGGAGTGAGGGCTAGACAAGCATCCAGAGACAGGCACCCTTGTGAGCCTGCAGACAGACTTAGGGTTCCCAGCAGGCACCGGTTATTGACATTAACTTCTCCTTCCAAAACGGCAGTCTGATGTTGTGCAGGGCTGGGGCGGGATGGGGCAAGACAGTGGGAGAGGTTCCGCTGGACTCAAGGCAGAGCAAGAGCTGCTTACTGCCCTAAGAAGTTATACCTTCCTGCCTTTCAGCAGCAAGCCCACCAAGATCTCCCCGGCCAGGGCCTTCAGTTTACAGACTGGGGAAGCAGGTTCAAGGCTGAAAGTGACTGTTCCAGAGTCCCCCTGGGATGATCCAGTAAAGGTCCATTTCAAAGCAGCCCCCACCGAGCCCCCCCAAACCTTGCTGTTTCCTCCCTTCCGTGGCCCCTCCCACAAATCCCTGCCATAATTCTTTGCCTCCACACCCCTTTCCCACCCGTCTCACCCCCCCCCCCCCCCTGTGTTCCAGCCGTCCTCACGCCACTAAAACCTCATCCAGGAACTCAGTAGCTCTTTCCAGGCTGACGTGGAATTTTTTAAAGAAGGAGGGGCTACTCCCTAGATGACCCAAAGTATCCTAACTCCAATTCCAGACAAACTTCTGCTTCTAGAAAGTGCCCCGGTAGACTGCCATTTCAGCCTCAGGTTGGGATAAAGCTGTCCCAAGGGCCAGCGTTGTAATGGATTTAGGGACGGGAAGATAAGGAGACTGAATTTCCAAGACTTGAAATTTTGCTGAATCAGAGATCTTGGAGTTTATACCCGGTCCACACGTGATAAGCTACCCAAACGCAAACACCTGGGAGGTCTCAATTCCCTCTTCTCCTCAGGGCAGGTGCGGTGGGTGGTGCGTGGGGCACAGAAAGAAGGAGCTCATGGCCCTCAGGGGCCCCATGATCACACTTAGGTCCCAGGGTCCAGGCTGTGCCAGGAGGCTTTCTTCCATAGAGGAACAAGAACCAGGAGAAATAAAACACAACCCCAAACTCCTTTTGTTTTCAGGCCCCATGATGTCTTGAAGACATACCCAGAGACATCCATTGGGCCTCCCCACCCTTTCCCCTGTCTCCTCCTCCTACCCCTTCTGTTCAAAATAAAAATCATGCTGATCTTTTTGGCACCTCTGCCCTACAGCATTTCGGTAACATCCAGCAAAAACATGCGGTGGGCTCTATGGAAAGCCAGAACTTCAAATAACTCTCGGGGACCGCCCCCATTTCCATGACCTTTGCAGGGGACTCGGGGGATGCGGGTGGGGGAGGGGCTGTCCAGCCAGCACACACTGCTGGCCAAGAGACTCAAGAAAACTTCCCACGGCCACTATGAGGCCACCGCCCATTCTTTGCTCATTTGTCCTCTCTTGGGGTGCAGGGAGGAGGGGGGTAATTAAAGAGAGGAGGCAAGGGTCCCTTCAGTCCGCGTTCAATGTCGAGCAGGCCCACACAGGACAAAGCTTACTCTTTAGAGATGCCAATGGCAATCCTGCTTCCCCCAAGGGCTCTGCACAGATACACAGACTCCAAGCACACGGGTGGGGGGCTGAGGTCAGAAAAAGGGACACATCGCAGGTGTCTTACCAACAGCTGTGAAATGACCGGATGAAAGCGGACTGTAGACCCAGACCCAGGAGCAGAGCAACCCTTGTCCCAAGCTGAGAAATCCACCACTTCAGCCTGGACCGCTGAAATCTCCCAGGGCCCTTCATGACCCGGTCCGTGCCTGCCGGCTTACTTGTGCCCACCCAGGACAGATCTGAAGGCCCACAAGACCGTCACCCAGCCCATCCATCTGGCCACATGCAGGAAACAAAGGTACAACTTTTACAAGAAGGGCGCATTCAGCAGTTTGGGCTGTAGACCCCAAAGAAACCTCAACAAATTGATCCTCTCATCCCCTTTCTCTATACCAGTTCGCTGATAGTGTCAAGTTTCTCTTATTCTTTTTCTGGGGGTGAGTATTTTAATCAACCATACACCTTGCCTGCTCCCCTAGAAAAACCACCCCCTGACTACCAAGCTTTCCCACACACCGTGCACCCCAGCTCCACGCTCGGACTTCTCCTGCGCCGTCGCACGGGGGGCGGCCGGTTCCCCCCCGCGGGCCCCCGCGCCTGTTGGAGGGTCTGTGGTTCTAAGTCCTGGGTTTCCGTGCATTTGTCTCGCAGGAACCAGGACTCGCCTTCCTGTGGGTGAAAGGGCCGGGGAAGGGCTCCCCCTGGCGGGGGCCAGCTCACCTCAATCTAGCGGGGATCCAAAGCTGGCGCGAGCCCACGCGAGCCAAAGCCACCCTCCCAGAGGACTCCTATTATATATACCCCGTAAATCCAGACGTGCCAGAGAGGCTCGGACCCCACTGAGCACCCAGAGAGTCTCCGCTTCGCTTCCCCAAACCGCGCACACCCCGTACGGGATAAGGGGGACCCGGGAGGAAAGCGTGGCGCCCCTGCCCCTCCCGCCCCGCCCCGCTGCTGGGACCCCAAAGGCGGATCGCCTTAGGTACCCTGGCTGCGCCCAACAATCCTCCCGGCAGGGATCCTCGATCCTAATCCCTAGTCTCTATCTGACCTCCTACAGAGTGGCGTGGCCCGCACCCCCGCCCTCGGGGCACAGACCCCGCTGAGCCCCCAGCCTTGTTAACCACACCTGCTATCCCCTGCCATCCTCTCGATGACCCCCCCAATCACCCACCCAGAGCGCCCAGCGCCGACTGGGACCGCACCTGTCCCGGGGGGGGGGGGGGAAGCCTCTAGCCCGCGGATTCGGGGCAGGGATCTGGGGCGGAGATGGGGCAAGCACATCTCCCCTGCCCCCTCCCCAGGCTAGTTTAAGTAGAACTTGGTTTCTGGGCTTCCCCGGGACCGTTCTGGGATCCCTCCCCCATTCTATCCCCATCCCCGACCGTGCCCAACAGTCGCCGGGGGGAGCGCCCCTGGGGTCTCCAAGACCCAGGGGGTGCAGCAGCGGGGCGCACGCAGGGCGCGGAGGTGCGGAGCCCCCTACCTTCCAGCAGCAGCAGCCGGACCCCGCGCCAACTCCCGCCGACGGCCGCGGGGGAAACTTTCCCCAGGCGGAGAGGCGCGCTCGAAACTTGCTCGGCGCCGGCTGCCTTCCTGGCGGTGGCGGCGGCGGCGGCGTGTCCGGGGACCGGGTGGCGCGAGCCGGCGGCGGCGCTGGCTCGGGGCGCGGGGCGCGGGGCGCGGGGCGCGGGGCGCGGGGCTCGGGGCCGGGGCTCTGGCGGCCTCGCGCGGCTCCGCTGTGGATCGCTCGGCGCTGCGTCCGCCCCGCAGCCTGGAGCCCCCGAGACGCCGGCGGCAGCTGCAGCCGCGCGCCCGCCCGCCGGCCCCACCTCCCAGCCACCGCTCCGTCCCTCCCTCTCCCCCGCGCTCCCTCCCCTCCCCAAACCTCCTCCCCGCCAGTCTCCCGTCTCCAGTCGCCGCCGCCACCACTGCCGTGGCGGCCGCCGAGAAGGCACGTTTCCTCCGGCGGGCTGCCCCTCGCCTCCTCCCTGCCTCGATCTCCTCCTGCGGTGCGGCCTCCGGGCCTTGTTTCCGGGCCCCGGGGCCACCCTCTGCCCTGCTCCCGTCCTTCAGCCCCTGCCCGCCTTCCCGCTCTGCTCCCGGGCCCTCGCTTGGTCTGAATTCGGGAGATCCGCTGGGGATGTGGGAGAGTGGCGTGCTAGACCCGGAGTATCCATTCCGGGGAAACTTTCACGCTGCGCCCCCCTCCCCCATAACCGACTGCAGGGTTGGAGGGGATGACTGTCCATCTGGACCTCGCTGCTTCTCCTGGGCTTCCTGCTGCCCCGGGAGTACCTGTTGAAAGCCGGAGGGACTCACCCTGCCAAGGGCTGCTCGGGCTGGGGGCGGATAACAGAGGCCGCTGGCGGGGGTGCTGAGGGGGCGGGGCTGACCCCAGACCAGATGCAAATGACTTGATTGCAGGAGGCCGGCGCTGTGTCTCCAATCTGAGGAGTTATCTTTTCATCTTTGTTCCTGGGCCTCAGTCACACATCCCCTCCCCAGCTCCTGACACATGACTTCACTGAGACACTTAACCTCTGAACCTTCTCCGTGAAGAAGCTCCCTACCCCTCCTGCCCCAGAACAAATGGGCCAGCAGGCAGATGGAAGGGGCAGCCCAAGTGAAAGTGCTTGGCTACCCCCAGATGAGTGGGGCTCTGGATGCCCACCCCTCTTCCCTGGGGGGCTCTCTTTTGAGTCCCCCCCTCTGAAGCTTTCCCATGGTGGAGTGTCTGATGGCCCTGGACAGTCACACACACAGGAGCTCTGCAGGGCACCCCTCGGTCAGCTGATTTGCACTAAAGGGTGAGTGACTGTTAAGCTTTGACCCTATTCCAGTCTTGGATATGAGGATTGGTAATGTCAGGCCCCAGGGGCTGGAAATCTCTGCCTTTCCTTGCCCACATTCCCAGAAAAGGATATACCCCTCTGAGGACTTTGAGGGTATCTGGTCCTTTCAACTGGTTCACCTGGGGTATGTTGAGAAAGGGCTGACGGAGAAGAGAGGTGTGGCTGGGGGGAGATAAACCTGGTCTGCCTGAATTTTCAGATGTACCCCAACTGAGCAGTGCTTAACCCCAGGGAAGAAAATCTCTGATCATGCAATTTCTGTAAAACAGGGACAAGGAAAAACCTAAAGGGATTCAGCCTCCACATTCACCCCTTCCGCTGCCAAAACAGGGTTGGGGGAGGCTGACCCTTTACTCTGAGAAACCCCACAGGCTCTGCATTATGGAATGCTGTTGGAAGAGGCTGTCTGTGTGGGCTTCCTTGGACGAGGCGCCACATAAATTTAAAGAGGGAAAAGGCTCAGCCCCTAGTGAGGGTACTGGGGCCTGGGAGGTGGAGGCCAGAGACAGCAGGAGCAGTGGATGGAGTTTCGGAGGATCTGGGGGATTGGCAGAAGCAGGCAGAGGGGAGGGGAACACCGGCAGGGGAAGGCAGCACAGGCCAGTTGGACCACTCAGCCGACCAGCTGGGAGGATAGGTCCAGCTCCAAGTCAGAGTTTCCCAGACCTCAGCCATTCTCCTGCTTCCATCGAGAATCTGTGTACCAGATAAGGCTGTTTGTTTAATAGCTTTCTTTAAATCAACTCTTGTTTTGTTTTTTTTTTTTTTACTTAAATGTGCTTGTTTTTACAAAGAAATGTTATATCATTCCCATAAATGGAAAACCAGCATCACAGTACTATAAATAGAAGGTCCCATAAAAATAAATACAATGAAAATAAAACAGTGTTATTAAATTCTAACAATGTATATTTAACCACAATAAAAAAAAAAAAATCTCCAGCAAAATATGGCTGCCCAAGAAAGGTACTGAGCCCAAGGCCCCAAGCTCCCAAGCTCTTGTAAAGGGAGATTAACAAGGGCTAGAAAGGTGTTAAAGACACCTTAGCAACAAACTGAGACTCCAAGCTGTGATCAAAAGTGTTGCAAGGGAACAGAAAGGGAAGTCCCCACCTCCAGGTCCTCACAGGCCAGCAGGGAGACTGAAGGCCCATGGGTGAGCTCCTTAAATCTCCTTGAAGACTTCTGATGCCCCAGGAAATGCAATCTAAGTGCATAGGAAAAAAAGTACTTGTTGGCAGAAGGACCCCAAGAGCATAGTCCTGGATAGGAGGAGGTGATCCTGGTGACAGAAAGCAGGCTTCCCCCTCACAGGGTGACCCCTGGGATAGTCCTTCCCTTCTCTGGCCTCAGTGTCTCCACCCTACAGCCAGAGGCTTGACACATGGTCTCCGGGATCACGTTTGCTATTCTTCGAGAAAAGCAAGAAAGGCTCTGGGCCATGGCTTATCAGGAAATTGAGGAGAGGGGAGGGAAGGGTGAGGCTTGGAAAGAGAGAGAACATTGAGGGGGGCATGGACGAGGGTCAGCAGTCCTCGGGAGGGAGTGAATGAGGTGTTAGGGCCACTGTTGAGGGACTGGAGTCTAGGTCATCCCAAATCCAGAGGTGGCCCAGCCCAGAACGTTCCAGATTCCCCATGTGTCCATCCTGGAAAGAGCCTTGTAGAGAATCCATTGTAATCCAACCACTTCATTTGACAGATGGGGAAACTGAAAAACACCACGGACTAGATCTTAGTCATGGCTGGAGAGCTGGGCGTCGAACTGACTCCCCCCGGTGTTTGGGGTACTAGTAGAAAAAGTTCTTTCGAAAATATTCACCTCTACCCACAGGGGCTCACAGACTTCATTTTTCTCCCACAGTTGGGAAAAATCGATGAAATGGCCCGAAAGCCCCAAACTCTCCAGAGCACGGCCAGTGTTGGGCAGCCTGTGTCACTGGACAAAGGACACTGGAAATGAGCATCTGCATGCCAGCATCTTGGGGACCCTAATGCAGACCAAAGGGCCCCAAACAAGGAGTCCACGGGCCCAAGTTCCAGTCCTGGCCATCTCGACAATTCCCTTCCCGTCCTAGGCTGCCATGTTCCCCTCTGTAAAGTGACACATTTGGGTGCTCTCAGTGGATCTCAAGATGGGCCGGAAGTCCCATCCCCAGGTGCCTAAGGACTGGGGGCCAGAGGGGGAGACTCCCTTCCAGCTTTCACCCCAAGCCGTTCCCCTTTCATCTTTTTTTGTATGATGGTGTCTTCCGTGAGAAAGTTGCTTTCACTTACAAAGAATGTGGAGTCACTAGAAGTCATGACCTCTTCTTGCTGCTGATCTTTATTAATTTAGGACTCATTAGACTGTGAGCTTCTCAAGGACAAGGGCCCTGTCTTTGTCCATGTCTGGGTCTCTAGGACTTTCTACAGTCGGTGCTCAGAGGGTCCTTGGAGGCCACTTCCTAACTGTGCCGCCTTGGGCCAGCTGCTTAAATTCTCTGAGCCTCCTCTGAAGCAGCTTTAAATGGGAGTTGGAACCACACCTCTAGCATTGGGTGACTGAGTTTCTCAGAGGAAGCTCTCAGCCCCACCCCTGGCACATAATAAGTGCTCAACAAAGGGCAGACTTCTGTGTGAATGGAGAAATGGAGGATGCTAGAAGGGCCGAGTCCTTTCCCCAGCAGGCATCTTGACCTCACAATCTAGCTTTTCCAGGGCAGCCTGCATATTAAATATTTAATCATTGCCTCCCTGTTTTTTTTTCCTGAATTGTTTCTTTTTATGTGTAATTTGCAATCATTTCCCCCAAAATGATAATTCATTAAATGTACAACTGAGTGTGATTGAATCCGTTTATCTTTGTGTTGATTTTCATAGAATAAATTTGAAAATCCTAGGGACATCCTTTGGGGGTTTAAAGAGTATGGTCCGGATCCTCTAGGGCCTCGACCAGCTGCAGGGACTCTCCTGCTTTCCCTCTTGGTATCCCTCCACCTGGCTGCCCACAGTTCATGGCCAGCCTCTCCGAGTGTCCTCAGCCCTGGGGCCAAGGGCTTGCCTGCCGGGGTCCTCCTTCACCTTCAGGAATGCTGCTGACTGGGAGCTAGAAGAGAGGGGGGATGCTACCCTCTTCCCCCAGGCTCTGTAGGAAAAGAGGTAGATTCATTATTTTAATAAACTGCTAGTAACAATACAATACTAATCACTGCCATCAGGGAGTAGGTAGCTAGGGTAGAAGCTCGGGTTGTGAGGACAGATAAACCCAGGTCCAAAGCCTGGTTCCTTTATTTATCAGCTGTGTGACTTTGGGCAAGACACTTTACCTCTCTGTGCTTTAGACTCTTAATCTTTAACACAAGGAGCGTGTACCATGCCAGGCACTGTGATGAGGCCTTTAGAACACAGGCTCGGTTAAGACTTCCAACAACTCCATTAGATACGGGTAGCTAGGGATCCTGTTCTCTAGACAGAAATCAGAGTTCACCCAGCAAATGCAGAATGCAAGTTCAAACATTTCTCTTCTCACTTCTGTGAGAGCAGGAGAGAGAAGTGGGCAGGAGGAGGTCAGAAGATTTGGGGCCAGCCTGGCACTGAACTTGCTAGCTGTTTGCCTTGGCCAAGTGGCCTGGTGCTCCTCTGAGCCTCCTTCTTCTTCCTCTTCTCAAGGGAGATGCCCAACAGGACAGTTGTAAACATCAAAGGAAAGGACATCTGCAAAGGGACTTTGATAAACAGAAAGCATGTAACAAATGTAACTTCTTTCTCTTTTTTAAATCACCTTTATCAT